AAAAACACAACAACAAGTACTGTACTGTACGTACAAAAACACAACAACAAGTACTGTATTGTACATACAAAAACACAACAACATGTACTGTACGTACAAAACACAACAACAAGTACTGTACTGTACGTACAAAACACAACAACAAGTACTGAATTGTACGTACAAAAACACAACAACACGTACTGTATTGTACATACAAAACACAAATTTTCTGTGTGTTACAGATCAGTAAGTCATAAATAACAAGGGGGGGACACTCACTAGACTTCATACTTCTACCACACAGCGTTGATCATATTCGGTGACGGAGGTAATAAGAATGTTTGAGTTAATTACCAGTAAACACATTATTTGTTTGTAGTTAAATACAAAGCTACACAATGGGCTATCTGTGCCGTGCCTGCTACGGGTATCGAAACCCGATTTTTAGCGTTATAAGTCCGCATACTTATCGCTGAGTCACTGAGAGTGGGAGGGTTATACAAGAAGTTACTAACAGTGTAATGTTTAGAATCTGCCAAAAAACAAAACAAACACTGTTGTGTTCTTTCATTTCGGCCGTCGAAGTCGTCCGACTGCATAGAAAAAGGCAAAATATGATATTCAAGACCTCATTTTTAACTGTTTGGGACATGTGTCCCCCCGCCATCTATGTTCGATATTTCCATAATTTAACTTACTAAGCTTTTCAGCACTTTCATAACGGGTCCAAGGTTGAAAACATTTCTTTCGTGATGATTAAGGCCCTAATTTCTGATCGTATCGCAGCTAGGATTTGTTAATAATAGCTGTCCAGTAAAAAAAGAAAACAAAAAAGGGTTAAAAATTGGAGCTTTATTGTTTCAGGGATGGAAAAGAAATGAAATGAAAATGTAACGAGATTTACGAAATGATTTACGTTTAATTTTAAGTTGAGATCTAATTTAGAGCCGTATTCTGGGAGTAATAACGGACAGTTGAGAAATGTGAAGTACGCGAAAAGTTCACATTTGTTGCTATGAAAATACGAGGAAAAGATAAAACGTTAGGTTGTGACAAGTGGTTTTTTTATTGGTACAGGTTTAGTAGACTTACTATATTTTACGTCCAGGACGTAAGGAACTGTGGCGTTTGGCCATAGCTTCTCTGGTTGATTGGCAGCATGTCTCTTAAGGCGTCGCTGAGCCTGTTGGGCACGTGAACAAAAGCATTAGACAGACGTAAATTAACATTCGAGTGCTTTAAATATCTTACAGTACAAACAGATATCGTTATGAAGGTCATAAAAAAATAAAATTATACCCCCCCCCAAACAAAACTGTCAAAATGCATAACGAACTTCTTAAAGGCCGAAAATATTAATTTTTACTTTTACGTCATTTCACGTGTACTGTTTCAAAATGGTTAGTGTGCAACCGCAAGGATCGCTGTTAGTTCATATATAAATATAAATTAAATGTGATGTTTTTTTTAGAAGATGCTACA